GTGTGTGTGTGTGTGTGTGTGTGTGTGTGTGTGTGTGTGTGTGTGTGTGTTATCTCACCTATTGACTCCATCGATGCACTTGCCTTCATTCAGACAGGGCGTACTTGCACATTCATCAATGTTGACCTCACAGTCTCGGCCTTGGAAACCAACGATGCACTCACATGAGTATGTTGCTATGTGGTCTTTACAGGTGGCACCGTTCTGACAGGGGAAGACCTCACACTCATTGATGTCCTCCTCACAGTTAATACCTGCCGGGATGCAGAGACAGGAGKGCTGTAGTCCGCAGCACTAGGTAGGCAGGACACTAAATAATATAATTCAGACTAAAGCATCATGCTGTTTCTGATGTGGACTTATTGTGATGCGGTGGGAGTGAAGGTGTTTTACAGGATGTCTGATATCAGCCTGTATCCTGATTGTTTTCACATAAAATACTAGAAAAAAATTGAAAAAAATGTGAATGATGAGTGCTGAAAGACTTTCCTAAACTTTACTAGTGAAGCTAAACCTACTGTTTAAGATACAAAAGCAGAACACAAGCTAAAATTAGCAAAACTGTAGTCAAATGTATCAAAAAGTCAAACAAACATACTGATGCTGTTTTTCTATGAAGGGGAAAATACAAGTTGAAAAATACTGAAAAGTATTATAGCTACAAAAATTTGCTGAATGAACTCAATGTTTTGAAATATGAATGATTAAAATACCACAAAGTATTCAGAGACAGAGGCATTGCAAAAATGTTTGGAAAAAACAACAAAATAAGATTGTTAAGGCTGAATCTGTATCTAAGCAGCATGAATAAAAGTTTTATACTGAAGGTATTAAAAAAACAAATATATCAAAAAGGACTAACCCTTAAACTGCTGTCTAATTATATATTAAACATTTAAATGTAGACTTATAACTTTGGAACACTGTTTTTGGAGACAGATTGCTGATTAGCTTGTGTTCATTTTTTGGGGGAAACTGAGTATAAATAAATTATAACAACTGGGTATTAAGTTTAACTTTGTAATGAAACCAGTCCAGTTACAACAAACTAATTGCTTCACATGAAATAAATGTGTTCTTTTGTGCAGCATGTCTGCACATTTAAAATATGATTCAGTTTTTGCACCCAGAGGTGAAGTTCTTAGAGAAGTACTCTGTAAGTTGCAGGAGAGGCCTTTAAAATAAATATGGTGCAATTGTTTCATCTGTGAAGTCCTGTCACTCTGTGTCAGGCGACTTATGCCAACAYATAAAAATTTTGTCCAACGCACTGAAGATCACAGTCTTTATACGTTAACTGATGAGGATGCATCAGCTTTTTAACAGGTGTAGTTCTGTACCTGAACACAGAGTGACATGTTTTAATTTATTTTTCTTAAACAGGACTATTAAAGTCCAATGTTTCATGAAACAGCTGGAGCTCACCACTGACCAAATGCAGCTCACTGGAAGTCAATGAAAAAAATCAGAAATCAAATATACTGCAGGTCATTCTGCAGGGAAATCCAAGGTTTCAGATTTTATTTTGAAACAAACTTTTCCAATGCTTTGTAATTTTGAAGAATATAAGTTCTATGTAAGTTCAGTCCATTTACCATTATTATTATTATTAAATCAACTTAGCACAAAAAGAATATAAATAAATTTTTGGTAGATTGATTTTTTGCTGTAACAGTGCTTATTGGTAATAAATCTTATTGGTAATAAATCTGGTACCTGGTTGGGTACCAGAAGCTGAAAAACAAGAGTCAATAGCAACATTAAAATAAGTTGTTTGGAACAGATGTTTTGGAAAAAAAATTCATGTGTTTAACACACTACTTAGCTCTACTGCTCACCCTAGAAATGCATGTTCCTTACAAATGTGGCACCACTTAACATGCTTTCCAATGATGTCAAATTTATTGCCAAGAAGCTTTGATGCATCCAAGAAATAATCTAATAAACACACATTCCCTCACACTTTGTGTGAAGTTTATTGCATATAAAGTTTAAATTCTCAGTATGACTGACTCACATAAGTATTGGTAAATTGCAATATTTACTACAAAAAGTAAAGCAAAACCACATTTATAGATACTTTTAAACTTTAGYTAAACTTTAAGCTGTTGGTATGGTCCACTGCAATAATCCCAGTTCTCTATCCTTTTGTAACAGAACTGTGTCCCACAGCTGAGCTGAAATTCAGGTACTTTTCCAAACCATTCCTATAAATAAATTTATTTTTAGCGTGAGTTTAGAAAGATTTTGGGTTCTTATCTCTTGCTCTTGTGTTGAGGTMAAAAATGTAAATATGCCACGATCATTTAATTTAGCTTTTATGCTAAACTGAACAAATCACAAGTTTTCAGCTTTTGTCAGTGTCTGATAKAAAACATCAATCAGACTTTAGACGTACTTCAAACATTGTATTACCTTTAAAACCTGGAACACAGTCACACTCATAGTGGTCCACTTCATCCAAACATGTGCCATTGTTTTGACAAGGCTGAGAGGCACACTCATTGATGTCCAAGTCACAGTGGTAACCCTGAAATCCAGGCACACAGAAGCACTGGTAGCCGTTGACTCCATCCTTACAGATGGCTCCATTCTGACAGGGATCAGACTGGCACTCGTCAATATTCTCCTCACAGTTTGTCCCCCGGTATCCAGCGGCACATTCACACTGGTGCCCTATGTCAAGGATGTCTCTGCAGGAGCCACCGTTCTGACATGTTTCCTCTGAGCAAGTGSTCACGTTATCTTGGCAGTACTCCCCTCCCCGTCCAATGGGACAGTGGCACGAGTACCCGTTGACTGCATTGGCACAGATGCACCTAACACCGCTGCAGGGGTTGCTCTGGCATTCATCGACATCCTGGTCACAGTTGAGTCCTGTGAAGCCATCTGGGCAGTGACAGGTGAACTGGTTTGTCCCGGGTATGCTGGTACAATTGCTGCAGGTAGCAAAAGCACAGGCATCATACAGCTTCTCACAGTGTCTGCCCATGTACCACACATGTTCTTTGGGGCACAAACACACATAACCACCCTGAATGTCGTGGCATTCTCCTCCGTTCTTGCAGGGAGATGATAAGCATTTGTCTGCTGCTGCTGTGCACAGTAGACCTACACATGGAARGAAATGAAAATATAATCAGAGATTTATTCAAAACTGTAAAATATAGTAATAATGTAGTAATAATATTAATAATAAATATTAATAATAAAGTAAGTACTTTAATGCAATATAGTCCTTCTACAAATACAGTATACATTATACAAAGCTAAAAAACTTYCTGCAGAAATATCGTGAGCTTCATTGAGTTGGTCATTTTGTGTAGGCCAAGGTTAACTAGCTAAGTTGTATAGTGGCTAACAGACAAACAGGTTTAGCTCAAACAATTAATGATACGATTTTAAGTTAAGATTTTGTGCATGGAGTTGAGCTCAATGTATGTGTTGTGGACAATGCTYAGCTAAAACCACACCAAATTCTAGCTCAAAATCTGTAAAAATTACTGAGTTACACATATTTTTGTGTTTTCTTATGTCAGTTGTCTTAACACTCAAATTAGTTTGAGTCCAAAATGGAATCAGTTGTGTATGTAGGTCTGATGAATCTTTTTCCCTTCAAAAGACTATTCATAACTTCTACCCCCATCTTCWATTACCATTAACTGCTCTCTGGAACTGAACAAGCAGGACATTCTCACTCCCAGCTCATCATATATTGATGCTTGGTCCAAGGTTCCCTCTGCGTCCAGTTTTGGTGCGTCGGGTAACCCCCTCGTGTCAGTTACTGATTAGATGAGAAAAAGGTTCTTTTTCTGTTCTTTTTCTGTTCTATTTTTTTCTTATTTTTTCTTCATCTCTTTACTATCACATTATTTTTTTCTCTTATTTCTTTATTTCTAACACAACAATTACTTGTGC